CCCGGCCGAGCCCAATTTGTACTTCTTAATCCTTTCACCTTTTTCATCCAGTATCCCAACAACCCCCTTTCCATCTGGCAACCATTAGTTTGTTCCCTGTACCTATGAATCTGTTTCCATTTTGTTTTATTCTTTAGATTCCACATATAGGTGAAATCATATGGTATTTGTCTTTCTCTGGCTGCCTTATTTCACTTAGTATAATACCCTCTAGGTCCATCCACGCTGTCACAAATGGTAAAATTTCATTCTCTTTTATGGCCGATTAATATTCCACTGTGAGTGTATGTGTGTATGTGTGTATATATCTCTCACAACTTTTTATCCACTAATTTATTGAGAGCACTTGAGTTGCTTCCATATCAATCTTTTTATCCTAATTTTTAATGTATGTTCACAACTTAAAAAGCACAGCAATAGAAGAAAAATAGAAAAATTGGACTTCAAAATTAAAAACTTTTGTGTATCAAAGGATACTATCAAGAAAGTGAAAAGACAACCTACAGAATGGGAGAAAATATTTCCAAGTCCTATATCTGATAAGAGCCTATGATCCAGAATATATAAAGAACTCTTACAACTCAATAACAAAAAGACAACCCAATTAAAAAATGGACAAAGGATTTGATATTTCTCCAAAGAAGATATCCAAATGACCAGTAAGTGCATGAAACAATATTCAACATCTGTCATTAGGGAAACACAAATCAAAACAACAATGAGATACAGCTTAATACCTACTATGATGGGTATAATTTTTTTAAAAGATGGAAAATAACAAGTGTTTTATTTAGTCACCTTAGCAAGGATGTGAAGAAATGGAACCCTTGAGCATTTCTGGTGGGATGGAAAATGGTGCAACCACTGTGAAAAACAGTTTAGGGGATCCTCAAAAAAAGCTAGACATAGATTACCATATGACCCAGCAATTCCATTCCTAGGTATACACCCTAAAGAACTGAAAACAGGGATTGAAACAGATACTTGTATGCCAGCATTATTCACAGTAACCAAAAGGTGGAAATAACGCAAGTGTCCATTGACAGATGAATGGACAAACAAAATGTGATATTTACATATAATGGAAATATTCAGCCATAAAAAGGAATGAAATTCTGATATATGCTACAACATGGATGAACCTTGAAGACATGCCAAACGCAAAAGGACATCCCACCTATATGAAATATCTAGAATCTAGAGTAGGCAAATTCATAGAGACAGAAAGATTAGAGGTTATAAGGAGCTACATGGAAGGGGGAGGGGGAAGTTACTGCTTAATGAGTTCATGATTTCTGTTTGGGTGATGAAAAAGTTTTGGAAATAAATATTGGTGATGGGTAGTTAGCTTTTGGAAACTCTAAAATTAAGTTTTATTTTAACTTAAATCATAAAATTAAAAAACAAGTGCAACCACAAGGCTTACAACAAAAGCAGCACTTTCCTGCTTCCTCCCTTCTTACTCCTGAGTTAGTTCTCTACTTTCAAGCATGAATAAACCACCAAAATCACTGGGCACTCTAGGAAAGCCTCTAACCCAAAAGACAAAAAGAAAAAAGAAGCCTGAAGGAAAGAGACAACACAAGGTCAAGTGAAAAGTTAAAAATATATATGTAAGTCTCAGATAGATGATGATACATGACAGATAGATAGGTAGGTAGGTAGGTAGGTAGATAGACAGATAGATAGATAGATAGATAGATAGATAGATAGATAGATAGATAGATAGATAGACAGACAGACAGACAGACAGACAGACAGATAGATAGATAGATAGATAGATGATAGATAGATACTTTATCCATAAAACAAGGACAAAATGTTAGGACAAAGGAACAGAATAAGAAAGAACTCTTATATAGATGGCCGTAGTGAACATTTGATGGACAGAGTTTGGAGATAAAGTCAAGAAAATCTAACCTCAATAGATTTCTCTAATTATGCAAAGATGATCAACATTATTAGCCATCAGGGAAATGCAAATCAAAACCGCAATGAGATACTACTTCAGATCTACTTCGACGGCTATAATCAAAAAGACCAGAAACTGTTAAGAGTTGGTTAGGATGTGGAGAAATTAGAACACTCATATACCACTGGTGGGAATGTTAAATGGTATAGCCACTGTAGATAACAGTTTGGCAGGTTCCTCAAGTTAAATATAGTTACCAAATGATCCAGCACTTCCACTCCCAGGTATATATCCAAAAGAAATGAATATATACCTATACAAAACTTGTACACAAATGTTCATAGAGCAGCATTATTCATAGTAGCCCCAAAATAGAAATAACTCAATGTTCATCAACAGATGGCTTGTAAATAAAATGTAGTATATCAATAAAATGGAATATTACTCAGCAATAAGGAATGAAGTACTGATATATGCTTCAACATGGGTGTACCTTAAAAACATCATGCAAAGCAAAAGAAGCCAGACACAATTACCATGTATTGTGTAATTCAATTTATATAAATGTCCAGAACAGGCAAATCCAGAGACAGAATTAGTGGTTGCTAAGAGCTGGGAGGAAGGGGAAGAGGGAGTGAAGAATAACCACTAATAGTTATGCGTTTTCTTTTTGGAACGATGAAAATGTTCTGAAACTAGATAGCAGTGATGGTTGCACAACACTGTGAGTGTACAAACTGCCACTGAATTATACATTTTAAAAGTGAATTTTATGGCATGTGAATATCAAGTCATTATAGCGTGAAAAAAAAAGAAAGAGAAAGAGACAGCAAAAAGATAGATGTGAGGAGAAAAAGATCAGAGACTGAAGATCAATCCAGCAGGGCCAACATCTGACTGGAATTTTACAGAGAGAAAACAAAACAAATGGAAGAGAGGAAATTATTTAAAAAAATTAATGCAAAACTTTTCTCAGAACAGAAGACCCAAGTCTCCACAAAGAAATGGTCTTTTCGTTACTGGCACAATAAGTGGACAAAGACCCATTCCATGGCACATCATTGAGAAATCTCACAAGAGAAGTAAAGTGAAGATCCTAATAGCTTCCAAAGATTAAAAAATACAAAGGACTGAGAATTGGAATGGTATCAAACTTCTCAGTACAAGATATGAAAGCTAACATTACAGCCTTTAAGATTCTGAGGGAAAACTATTTTTTTACTTTATATACATAAATTATATATATAATACATTTACATATAATTTATATTTATTACTTTCAACTCTACACCCAGCAAACTGTGTGAGGTCTAAATTAAAGACATGGCAGTTTCCAAAAATTTACCTCCAGTTGAAGGTGCACTCTAGTAAAATGAGAAACTGAAGTTAAGAAAGCAAAAGACCATGTGGTCCAAAAAGCAGGGTGTCCATCATGGGAAAGTGGCCAAGGGCAGTCTCAGGGACGAAAAGGGAAGTCACTGGATAGCAGTTAGGCAGCAAGCCCAGAAAGCAACCTGGCCAGATCAGAGCAGAGGACAGAAGAGGGCAGCACGAAAAATAGGAAATCAAGTTTGCACATCTGGAGAGTTGACAGATCTGGTGGAGCATGTGAAAAAATTACAAATAAGAGCTTAGAATATAAAGTATATAAGAAAGATGGGGCAACCATTCTAGGAAAAACAAAATGTATAAGAAAAAAAAAAGAAACCATAATATATTATTAGGCTCTGCGGTGAACAATATTTACATGTTCACAGTAAACAGAAATATTGGTTGCTATTTAACCCGAAACTGATGTAATATATATGGAGAGTGGGAAACAGGAGGTGGAGATGACAGAGCTAAATACTCATCTATCATAGCAGGAAATCAATATATAATGAGATGAATTTTAGAGATGAAATAAATAAAAGGTAATCATATTTAAAAAAGAAATATGAAGGTAAATATAAATACAGAATATGCAGCTGATGAGGCCGACAGAGGAGAAGGCTAAGAAGGTAGGGCGGTGGGCTGGATGGATGATTAGAAGGCTTTTAGTGCTCTCACTGATCCTTGCCTCCATTCTAGTTTTTAAAATACTATTATTGTAAAAAGTTATTAGGTATATACCTCACAACAGTTCCCTGCACACACACAGTGGGTGTGACATCAAAGATGTGAACTGGCCTAGAGGACAGTGAGAACAGTAACTCTGAAGCACTCTCTGAATCATCAGAGGGTGCTTCTTCAGGCCCCACCCCATCAGGGGGCAGTGCAATGCTGGTTCTGGCCCTCTGAATACTCTGGAGACCTGTCCTTCCTGGACATTCTGTGGAAGGGGGCTAGCTGAGGACTGGAGCTTTGGCTGAACCAGGCCAACAAAGGGTGTGGCTCCTGGGACTGTGGCCTGGAGCTTTCCACAGGAGCTTGCTCCAAACCACTATTCTCTTACATATCAACCATCTGTGAATGTAGGCTCCCTATATATTCCCAGCTTTCTTCAACTAATTTCTCAGGGGAAGTTTTTTAAAAATAGGCATGGTATAGATAGAAACATTGGTGGAAAAGTAGATGACTTCTGTCTCACCCATTCATAGTTCCTCACACCCTGTTGAGGCCCACAGATCTCTTGTGCTTGGCACACAACAGGTGTTCAATACAGAGCTGCTTAAGGCATAATTATGGTACAACAGCACTTTGTTGGGTCCTTTACGTGCACTGCCACATTCAATCCTCACAACATGCTTATGCAGTTAAGAGGGTAGGATCAGCTCCACATAACATAAGGGAACTAAGGCTCAGAGTAACCTGAACAAGGTCACTTCACTAGTAAGGGAAGAGCTAGGATTCACACCCAGGTGTGCTGACCCCACAGCCTACTCAACTGGCAGCTATGACCATAAATCCTTCTGGAAAAAGGTTTGGCTAGTGGATGGATAGATGGGAGAAGAAATGAAAATAAGAGATGAATTCAGAGCTGGTCCAAGAAGAGAATCTGAGAGACCCTCCTCACTCAGAGGCTCCAAGGCCATCTGGTCAGAAGCTAGAGAAACTAGCTGTGTACCCCTTCTCCCCTCGCCCCAGCAGTTGTCCTTGTGGCACCTACCTTCTTCAGAGAGGTTGTTCTCTTTGGTCTCCTTGTCCATCTGGCAGCACCAGCCTTCCAGCCGCTCTGTTTCTGCCTGCAGAAGCTTCAAGAACCAGTAGCCATCTCGGCGGCAGGCCCCTGGCTGTGCTGGCTCTGACGGGGAGCTGGAGGAGGTCTCAAGCCAGGGGTCAGGTGGGGGCAGTGACGATGCCTCTAGGGCAGGGTCGCTGTTGTCTCCATAGGAGAGGTTGCGCTTGATCTGGGCAATCTTGGGGGCCTGCCGAGGCCCAGCATCGATGCTGATGGAGTTGGGATGTGGGGTACAGTCTGGAAGGCTCCTCTCAGATGACTTACAGCTCGAGTCATTGGCATCCTGGGTATCTGAGTCAGTGTCCCGTCGGGAGGACATGCTGTGAGAGGGGGCACTGCTTCTGTGGGTGGGGGGTGGA